CCCCAATAAAAAAATAAGGCACTTGTATATCGGTTCCGCTTAAGCAATTGGTTCCTTCTGGAATATCCAGCATCTCATTCGTCACATTCAAGTAGCTGTTCCCATAAATTCCCGCATCACTGTTCTTCCCCATTAACCCAATATCCACCAAAGTGAATTGATAATTGTGATCACACACAGCCAAAAGTACGATGCTGTATCGTATGTGATAATTAAAGTACAGCGTACCAGAATTAGGGGGGCATTGAGCATCGACATGTTTTCCATCAATTGCCCCCAAGCAATGTGGAAAATTCCATAATGTCCAAAAACCCTCAGCAATTTGTAAATATTCTTCTCTTGAAGGAGTTCGTTGATAGATAGGACCAAGAAGTCTTTCAAATACGTCACACGTCTCTTTAATTATTTTATGTACTGTTAGGGCCACTTCGACCAACGTCGATTAACTTTAATCGACGATTAACTCAATCACCAGTGTCGCCAACAACAAGATATTTGTCGCTGTGTATGTCGTTCTTAACCAATCTTTTCAAATATTATACTACTTCTCTTTAATTTGAATAAAAATGTTTCGATTTTTATTTAAAATATCTACGAAAACGTGTTTATGTAACATATGGATAGAATTATTAATTTTTTATTATTTGATGAATACGAGGGTTATGATCTTCCAGTAAGAAGGAATCGACGAAAAATACATATAATCAGGCCACGTATAAATTATTTAGAAATTTTTGTCATTTTAAAAAAAAGATTTGCAATATCAAAGGAAAACTTTAACATGATATTAGAAAAAATTTATGTTGAATTACAACATAAAACTAATCGGTATGTATAAATATTTAATACAACGATTTAAAATTGTTACCATAAATTGTTAAAATAATGGTAATAATTGTTAAAATAATTACCATATTAAAATAAACTAATAAACTGACAGCTAGAATACATATATATGCATTCCCATAGTATGTATAAAATTTTTTAATGTTTTATTTTTTTATAATAATGTTGTTGGCGACACTGCTGATTGAGTTAATCGTCGATTAAAGTTAATCGGCGTTGGTCGAAGTGGCCCTTAATAAACCAACACGATAGGCAAAAGCAACTGCTGGAACTTTGTCTCCAATCAGAAATCTGTAACATCATTATCAATATTATAATATTAATTGCCAAACTGTTTTTACACATATGTATTGTTAGACTACGAGTAATCCGAACATATACCGCAATGTAAAAGCAACTCTTTGCTCTGGTTCAAGTGCCCGTGGACTTCGTTTCATTAAACTTGGATTAACAATGTCCATCAAGTGCTGGAATGTTGGCAGTGTCATACGTGTATACTTGTGGAACATTTGCTCATCTGTTTTCATCTCCTGAAAAAAATTGTAAAACGCTCTTTGCTGTCTTCTCCTTGTGTTAATTGGTCGTACCCAGACACGCCGACGGCGCGGCGGCGACGATGACGTTCACGGTTTCTACGACGTTGCACCAAAAGTGCTCCCATGTTGACCAGAGCAATTAACAACAAATCGAAATCATCCATTTCTGTAAAAAGACAAATGTAATTCAATCTAATGCAGTCTTCTCGAATTAAAATCACATTCAGAATTGTATGAATTAATTGCAAAAACGTTAAAGAATGGCCAAACAGCGCAAACATCAAATATCAAAATAAGTGAAAAATATTCAATGATACATACAAATAATAAAGTATTATTCGAGAAAATTAACCAAATCAAGAAAATGTTTTAATAATGAATTTTTACACCTAAACTGTATATGAAACTTACCGAAAATTATGAGATGCGTTTATTTTGCAATAAATTACAATTTCTGGTGATCGCCTCGGACTCGACGACGTCTCGCTATCCGTCTTCGGATCTTGCGCCGATTTAGCTTTCGACGCGTCTTGATTCGAGTTTGCTTGCGTCTTGTTAGTCGCGGAGCTCTGAGCCTTCAAAGTAGAAAGCAATTTGGATACTTCGGCACACAAAATCAAATTAACCTCAAAACACTATGTTTACGAAACTGAGACAATTCACACTAATAATTATATACGGTCACTGTCAGTTTGTAATTTCATTACGTTGATACTTAAATAATGAGAATACTTACGTGTTAATCAATATAAATCCGTTCTTTGTTCTTGATCACTTTTCTAGAAGGACCGACTACAAGGAGAATGTATGTGCTTATGCCCGTGGCTATGCATTATGTATTTTTATGTAGATTGAAAATCCAGAAGCCATGGGTAGAATACAGAAACCATAGCGCATGCGCTATGATATCTGCCATTCTGCTATAGGCAGATAAAGTAATACCACAGCGCATGCGCTATGGCTTCTGCATTCTGCCTATGGCTCCTGTAATTTTATGTGCTTCCACCTTTACACGATATTTTTAATTATTCCTCGCTTTGACTAATATGGGTATGATATAAGCTCTAACGTCATCAAAATTCACAAAAATATTTTATGAATACTTAGAATCGATGAATTTGAAGATTTTCTCTTCATCTCTCAACTGACTAGAGAGTACCTGTAGAACCTCCTTAAATGACTATACGATTAAGCATATTTATTATTTTTAAAATACGTATTAAATTTTTTAAATAATTTTAATGTTTTTTTCCAATCTCGCGACATTTTAATTCATAAAATATTTGAAAGTAGTCGACAACTAATTATTGATATCGGTAAAAATTTTTTTGTACCACAGGCGTTAAAAGATATAAATAATATTATTTTAGATAATCACATAAAAGATGTCAATAATATATATGTAGGACCTGAATGCGAAAGCCTTTTACAGACATTACCTTTAGAATGCGCGCAAGGAATTAAAAGAGATTGTTTAAATTTTTATGAAACTTCACTTCGCGAAATGTTGAAACGTTTACCATATAATGTTATTTTTGAACAATTAATGTTTTTACAGCCAAAAATTGCACTTTACTATGGAGGTAGAACAAAAATTATAGATTTGACTTTACTTGCAACGCGTATAGGATGTATTGATATTGAAAAATTAAATTTTGAATGGAAAAATCTACCTTCTATTTATAATGATGTTCAGAAAGCTCAGTTGGAACTTTTAGAAATTAGATATGTGGAAACAAATATTTGAATTTGAAGATATTAGCAGGGGAAAAATGTTTCCAAATTTAGAATTATTAGTTCATTCAGTTCTTTCTTTTCCCCATTCAAATGCCGAAGCCAAACGCGTTTTTTCCATAGTTACAGATGTAAAAACTAAGAAAAGAAATCGATTAGCAAATAATACTAAAGAATAAGAGGATAAAGAACTTTACTTTATATACCCCAAAGAGCCTTAAAGGGCATTTTGAAGGGACGTACCCTTGGAACCGGTGGCTGAAGTCACCGTTCCAAGGTCGGATCCTTCACGCCAACAGACACCGTGCGAGCCGATGGACCAGACGGAGGTGATCCCGAGGAATCCGAGCGCCGTACGACCAAACGAGGAGGTCGACCAATCAATGGGGTTGACCGAGGCCGAGGTACAATTGTTCATGGCTAATAACGACGCCGAGCAATTGGACCTGTTCCAGACAATACCGGAGGCCATCGAGGAAGAGATTGTGGCACAGTGCGGGAACAGCCCGCTGGACCGCTGGACATACAGCCGAGCCAATCGAGGGACGAGGAGAGCATCGACGAGCAGCCCGACCAAACGGAGGCGCCGGAGATAGCGGCGGGTGCGGCGACAGCCCCGTAGGAGAGATCCCGACCTGATTGCGCGACACCGTCCATTTTTGGATTAAACGGCCAATTAGGGAGCCGCAGTCGATACACCACGTGTGTAGACAGTCTTTTAAGTTTTTATTATTTTGTTCACGATTTTAAAGTCTAGTACGTCCAAGAACGAAGTTTTTATTTTATTTGTCGAGATTGAACTATTTAGAAAGGTTTACGCGAATTGCGCGACGACTGACCCAACAGGTCTTATTTTATATTAATTTTACACTTATTTTCGCGATAACGCATGTAACGACCAATTAGGAGCGTCGGTGATTGAATATAATATATTTTACACAAGATAAGCAAAAGCAAACACCTGAAAACCCTTTCAACCAATCCCACGTATCCTCGAGTGAATTATCATTAGAAGCAAAAGACAGAGCCATCGCGAGAGCCAATCACAGGCCATGGACTCTGATAAATTCAGAATATTAGTTCTTGCATTCATTTTCATACTTTTTGCGATTTCTATCGTATGCATATTACTTTTAGCTTATTCGCATTCAGCGGGAGCACACCAACCATATTATCTAACGTAGAGTCAGTAGAGTCAGCGAGATGCGGCTTAAGGAGTACCCAGTGGTCACTCTGATCATATTCATACCTTTGATTATCAGTTTTCCAGAAATTCATACAGTTAGCATGATATTTACTCTATATACCTTATACATCTTATTGTTAAGCCTCGAGATCGATCCTAGATTGATTCCCGACGAGCGATGAACCAATCACGTCAGATTAAGCGTGTATTGCGTCCGAGAACCAATAGCGTCCGTTCTATATACTTCAGTTTTAATTATGCATGTTTCACAAGTTAATTGCAGTTTTGACACAATGTCGAGTAGCGACAGCCAATGGGGCGAAGCCCTGATAGTTTTATATCGATTCGTCGAGTTTTACTTTAATTTACCTTATTCACAGACCTTGTTGTCGACGAGAGCCAATAGGAGCGAATCCTGGCCAATTTCACGTTATTTAATTCATTTCGAAGTTTTCTAAGGCCTTCAGCCTATCGGAGCGCACTAAGCGACTCTGCCGAACGAACGCGGCGATCCGACCAATGAGAGACGAGCACGGCTCGAAGTAGCGAGATTCGCATTGTAACGCGTTTAAACGTTCTATTACGATGACTTTTATGTTTTCCCTGTCGAAACTGTTAAGAATTATTATTATTTTATTATTTTATTGTATGCGATACGCATCTTATATACTTACCGTCGGAATACTTACCGATGACGATTTCCCGTCCAATGATTGGGCGAGACGATCCCACGAAGTCCGGTACCTGAAAGAAAAGAAGAATTAATCGATGTATTGATTCTAGTACGTGTTACTTACCTGCGTAATGTCGGATCGTCTAAACGACCTAGATTGGTCACTCGGAACCGTTCCGAGTGACTAGCCCGCGAACACGCACTATGTGCTGTTGCGACGGCTGGCATTGGTTGACGCAATGCGGAGACCGCAGCGAGAGCTCATGTCCGCCGTCCAATCGGGATTCAGCATCGTGATTGAGCTGAGCCAATAAACCGGCTCAGTTAGTTGCCAATTGGTCAACGACACTCAGTGGATTGTGTCACCCGTAATACAGCGACGCGATTGGCCGAGAGCGAGGAGACGCGCGAAATGCACGAGACTCGCGCCAAAAATAGAGGCGTTGCGCCGGCGCGAGCAGCCATAGTGGGAGAGCGAGACCCGTTCCTCCTGGACAGTCCATCGTTGGCACTCGAAGCGGCAACTCGTGCTCGGTTCCGCGTAAATCATTCGAACCCGATCGACTTATCCCGTTGTCCGCTAGCGACATTAGCGTGATTATTGCAGTTTATTCGTGTTTGCGCGATAACGGGAGTTAATTGTGCGACACGCGAACGACCCAGAGAGTCGATACAAGCTCAATATCGTCGGTACCGTTGAGAACGTGTCCGCGATCGTAGCACATGCTGTAAACCAAGGATATATTAAATTGTTATTTGTTTATAATAAACAAAGACTCTTTATTCGCGACCCCGGTGAAAATCCTGTCCGAACATCCGTGATTTACGTGCGCTTAACCAGGGCGTGGCCGACGGCCTTGAACACGTCCGCGACGTAGAACAGCGGCAGCCGTTACGCTGGAAGGAAGGAAGGGGCAACGCATTGCATCAGGGTTTCTGTATTCATCCAAAAAATACAGTGGCGACCGTAATTACAGCCCAAGTAGTAAGTGGCTATTTTATTCAATTTCAACAGCGTCAATCGTTGATCCGGTCACACCCTAACCTCCAATTCATCCACTACCTTACTGTTTCCTCCTTTGGACCAACAGTTTAACGTCTCTTCCGAAAGACGGAGCCCAGTTTTCTCCACATCTTGCACGGAGGGGCGCGGTTTTTTCGGAAAAAAACTTTTTCATGATTCATGGCTCTAGTGGACTCGAACCTGGTTCCTCAGATTACGAGTCTGGCGCTCTACCACTAGACCACACCGCCGCCGAGCAAATAATACTATTTTTGCCATTTGTAATATTCGATCTTGTTTCCAGGCTAAAGGCATTAATTGTACTACTTTTGAAGTAGAATACGAACACCTTAAATTATATTCATGGAAAAATTTAAATGCATCCGGTAGTTCATAAAAATAATTTTTTTATTTAATTATATTTTTATTGAATTTTTTTTTATAAATCGCATTGTGCTGATGTCTGGTCGGTGCATGCTAGAAAACGATATGTGATATATTGTTTTAATAATTTGTTTTAATAAATGTTTAACTTTTTTTAGTTTTATCTCATCACGCACGCATACACAACGTGCGTCGGAAATGTTCCTGATGGACATAACATTCGTTAATTTTATTTTTTCTTAATAGAAATGTAATTTTGTTTTAGTTTGTTTCAGTTTTTTAAGTTTTCACGATTTTCTAGATTACAGCATGTGATATTTATTAAATGACAAAATATATGTATTATGAATGTGATACTAGATTATTAGAGTATTAGGTTAGTAATACAATTTGTGATAACAGAATATAAACAAACAAATAACTTCCTTCGCCAGTGGATAAATTCAAAATA